ACTATGTGCGAACAAAGGCGTGGAACGAGATGAGGGTGGGTAGAACGTCGGATTTGTGGCACAAAGGAAAGGTCCAAGTATAATGTGAATAATCATCCAAAATGACAAGATAAAATTTGAACCTAGAATTGCTCATTATTGGCGATGTCCATACATCACAATGAAGAAGTTGAAATGAAAGCTGTGAAACATTATGCGAATCTTGAAATGGTAACCTGACATGCTTGCCAAGGCGACATGCATGGCAGGTGTGATTGCTAGACTTAGAACAAGAAAACCCCATGGTGCGCGACAAGCACTGAAGGGTGGCATGACTAGGGTATCCAAGCCGTGCATGCCAGAGGGGGAGTCCATTGCGGTGAGAAGGGCCACCGGTTGACAGCACGTCGCATCATGCTGTGGACGCAGGGGGTAGAGATCTCCGGACGAATCACCTCGGAGCAGAGCCATCTTGGTTCGAAGGTCCTTGATAGAAAACCCCAGGGATCAAATTCGATAGATCTTGCCTTAAGGGACTCATGTCGAAACCTTAAGGGACTCTTGCTTTAGTTTCTTCGCGCAGATGTCCTTACTCGAAGTTGAACTTACTCGAAGTTGTATGGTAGCCATATAGTAGAGTGTTGTTGGAGATTTTTAAAAGCCAGGGCAATGTATGCCGAAACCTTAAGGGACTCTTGCCTTAGTTTCTTCGCACGGATGTCCTCTTTCTCCCGAAGGGTCTTTCCAGCAGCTAACTCTTTGGCATTCAGTTTCCACTGTCTGAGGTAATTAAAATTTGTTTGTGCTATAGCTTGATGGTCTATATATCCGGCTTTCACACTCGGCATTTATTTTACAATGTGCACTTGCATTCTACAAATCATGGCGTGGGTTAGTTACAAAAAAAAATCCAAAGATTACATTCATATCATATCGGGAGGCAAGGACTTACAGGCACCACGTGCGAATTAGATTCATTTCCATTGCTCCGAGGTGAAAGCATGTCTGCATGTCATTGAAGTCAAAGATAATTTTTCTGGCTGGGCTTCCAAATGTGCCAGCGGGGAAGCATGCTTGTATGAGGTCTATGCTCGTTAGGAGAACACGCAAGTACCAATTATGTAACCTTCTCATTTCAAGTGGTAGGCGTTGGATGTCCCGGTTTGGTAGGAAGGGCTTGCCTCTTTCATATGTTTTCGGGCAATCCTTTGACCATTTGATGGCATCAACATTTGTATACTTCTTTGCTGTTTGGTGGACTTTGCTAGTGACGGCCTCCTCAGAGAATTTTTTTTTATTTTTAACACTTTTTGTAAACTAATTTTAAATCTAACACTGTTTAATTTTTTTCCAAAACTAATACTTTTGGCCGCGCCTATTTCCATGGCGCGGCGAAACGTCTGTGCCGCGCCATGCATGGTGCCGGTCGGCGCCCTGGTCGTTGCCACGTCACCCCTCTTGCCACGCCACCATGCATGGCACGGCACAGACGTTTCGCCGCACCATGGCAATAGGCGCAGCCAAAAGTGTTAGTTTTGAAAAAAATAAAATAGTGTTAGATTTAAAATTAGTTTACAAAAAGTGTTAAAAATAAAAAAAATTCTCCTCAGAAGCCCATGTTGGGATTTTTTTAACTTAGTTCTCAGGCTTGAACTGGTCATGGACATACCACTTGTGCACCGACAAGACATCTTTCATCGGAACATGAATTGGCCTTATGGTGATTGGATGCTTCTTTCAAAGAAGCAGTCTATATATTGTCAAGTTTGTGCCAGAGGATGAACTGCCCCATTACGTCTCCGAGTAACACCAACCCCTTGGAAGTTGCGTAGTCTATCCTCCACTGCATGAACTCGGGCTCACGGTATGCACCTCGACCCTAGTGTAGTCCGGCGGTATCGTATTATTGTGGTGTAAGCCACTGGGAGGATGTGCCACACCCGTTGCCACCTCCATCACAGTGTTCTATCGGTCGCTGAGAAACACCAAGGTGCAACTAGTTGGTTCCCGTATGCGATCGACGGGGGTTGTAGCTGCAGTGGAACCTTGTCTGCTAGGAACTTCCAAAGGGCTGTCAACTAATGCCAGTTCTTCCGGTGGCGCCATTAATGTCCGTGGCTTCATAGACAGTCTTTGCTCCTCCAGTGCCTTCACAACTAAAGCCTTCACTTAGAGCTCAACATTAGCCTCTCGGTCTCTGCCATGTTTCTTGTACATGTGCCTGTCCTCTTCTAATCCGTGCTTCCAGGTCGTCCTTTTCCCTAGCCCCCTGGTGCGGCCTGTATGCTCGTTGTTTCCCAAGCCAAGGCGAAGCTCGTCTCTCTCTCTGGAAGGATTGAATGAGACCTTCTCCTTGTCTTCAGCATATTTCAGTATCCTTGATACTACCTCTTGGGTCTTTGGCTTATCAAACTTAAGATTACCGCCGGATGATTCTGTACTCCTCGCATATATCCAAATCCTTAAGCGTACCTTCAAATTCTTCACATCGATATTTCCAGAAGTTGCGGCCTCTTCGTCCATCTTCCTAAACTGCTCTTCCTTGGCATAGTAGCCACCGGGGCCTAGATGATGGTGGTGTTTGTTCCTCTTCGCTAGCTCGGTGTTACGGGCACTGAGCTCCAATGTCTCCGGTGAAGTCTTCTGAGCCACGAGCTCCTTCCATTGACTAGGTATATTATTGGCCAGATTTCCTAACCAACTTACACGGATGTTTGTATGTGACGTAATAATGATGCCTTTTAAGTAATCGGTAAATTGGAGTGGCACGTACGCTACACTAACCATGAGTTAAGAGCACTTAATTTGGTCTCTTTACTCGATAATCCATCCTTGATCGATCCATTAGTACTAATATTTAGTACCACACAAAGGGCTGAAGGGGGCTTTTCTATACTTAATTTGTCATCACAATATAGTAATTATGAACTTTGCATATGCAATTATGCAAATAAAGATACATCAATCATATCTGCCGGCCATTGTAGTACCATTCTTCCACAGCTTTTGCAGCATATATAGAATAGTAGGGTTTATTTTAGACATTTAAGCAGACATCTGATGGCCCCAATGCCCCCCATTTGAGCTGTGGTTGTACCATACATTTTAAGTACCTCATCATAACCTGGGCCATGCTTTTGTTTACTGGTTATATTAGTCGACAGCTTTATTTCGATTTGGCTAGCTGATGCACGCTCTGGCCGGCTCAAATGTCAAGGTTGTTCAAGATATATCCCCATCAACCATATAATTAATTAACTGCAGTATATATGCAGTTAAGTAGTCAGCTAGTATTACTGACGAATTACTAACTTGATATCGACTAGTAGTGAATAATGGACTAGATGCATGTTCCGGTTGCATGCTGGTCATAAAACAAACGGTGAGGGAGACACAAAGCCATGAGGATCGGAGGTGTTTACCCTGTGCAACATGCCAATATGCCATGCATGCAGCAGAGTCCAAGTGAGAGAGATCAACGAGGCCGAGACGCGCGGCGTCCCCTCCAACTCCGACAGCTTGGATCCATATGCTTGACCGGCGACACACTGCACTGCACGCCAACAGCAACAGATCTCCGGCGTGCAGTACACGGAGCTAGCTAGCTGCTAAAGGTAAACCGGCCGGCCGGCCGGCTGCGAGAAAGAGAGCGGCAGCCGGCAGTATGTATACATGCAATGCAAGTACCGGCGCTGTCAAGCTGGAGCACGACATGCATGCATGCTTCAGCGCAAGGCATGCGGACCGACGACCGACGTACGGCGCTGCTACTGCGCGCGTGCTGTCTGCGTCCCGACAAACTGAGGAGTGTTTAGACCACGCTACGTGAAAAACAGTCCAGAAACGGCCTTCCAACGCTCGAAAATGGTAGGCAAACAATAATAGAAACATATCCACAAGTGATGTATGCGTAATAAGTTGCTCTCAGTGCGGGTTTCCAAATTAACGACCATCCAACGCTAAAATGGCCAAATCAAGATCCTAGATAAGTGTGACAGAACCAAGACAATAATCTAAGGTTTTAGTTCTACAAGTTGAAGGTCAAGATTTTATTGCTAATATTCCAACAGGAATGATAACAGAGTTTTTATACAAAACTAAATAAAACAACTGACAAAGCAATATAGCCAACAATAGATGGAATAAAATCAAGATAGATTTGCTACCTGATCAAAATGAAACAACAGCACAACTAAAGCCTACAGTATGGTCTGAACTGTCACACCAATCTCACTTCGACCCTTTATCATCGTTGAGCAACAAACCTTCCTCAAGCACACAATTTGCCCTAAATAACAGTAAGTAAAAATTGCAGGCTATAAATATGAACGGTCCAAGAACGATCGCACTTCCCCCAAATAATATAAGCACATCCATTTAACAGGCAACCTAGCTGATAATCACTACAACTCAGGCTATACAAAAAAAAGTCACTTCACTTAGGCTTCACCCTATCCGTGACACCGCTACAACTCTAGAAACACATCCATTTAACACGCGGCCTAGCTGATAATCAACCTTCATTTTTTTTCAAGAAATTCATCAGATAGTCATGCACTGGAACTGAATATACATATATGCACATTTATCTATTGTTAGTGATGTATACTGAAAAATCGGCAGTCAATGCCGAGCTCGCAAGTGATTCCAAGGATATTTTAGCCAAATCAGCAGGAATGGAGGAGAAGGCGAGGTTGGGGGCGCATACCTACAAAAGACCTGGCCAAGCAAGGGATGGCAACTGTAGCGAGCACGGGGCAAGGATGTCGAGCTCGGAGAAGACCCCCATGTCAGAAGCAGAGGTCGGAGATGGGGAGCGTGCACAGACGCCGGCGCACACGGCCACCAAGGGATGGCGACGGTGGCGGCACAGTGGGCCGGGGCCCTCAAACCCTAGCGTAGGGGGCCGGGAGAGCTCAACATCGTAGATCGACGAGCCGACGGCCGGAGCGGGGGAGGTCGGGGTCGGAGATGGGGCGACGACGGGCTGGCCGGTTGGGAGGCTCTCAAACCCTAGCCGCATGGCGACATGGGGATTGCCGAGGATGGGGCCTGGGGGCACGGAGATGGGGCGGCAGCGTCGGTGCGGTGGCTTCGTGGACTGTGTCAACGGTGGAGAGGTCAGGGAGGAGGAGGCGTCGGCGGCGTCAAATGCTAACTTTGGCAGGCTGCCGGCGACGTAGAGGAAGAATAGCGCCCAGACTTAGAAAAATTTCGGCCTCCCGCGGGTTCTAGTTTATATACCGGAGGTCATTTGTAAGGTAGGCTCCTGAGTTAGCCGCCCCTACAAATCGATTTGTAGGGGCGGTTCTGAGTTAGCTGCCCCTACAAATATTTTTCAATTTATTTTTATTACTAATTCTGTAATTCATTCATATATAAAGAACACAGTGTAAATTTATATATTAGTTTTTTGATTATTCTATATATATATATGTATATATAAACAATTTTATTATATATATAGATATAATTCTATATTTTCTTCTTTACAAAAACAACGTTTTAAAAATGGAAAATTTGAATTTCAAAACAACTAATAGAATTTTAGGACATTAAATGACTTTAAATGAAAATTTTGTAAACATTAAAGTTGTAGAACTCATCAAGATGTACAACTTATATTTTGGTCATCTTTTTATTTCACAAAATTTGAAAAGTTCAAATTTTAAATTTCAATAAATGACCACTTCAAATAAGATTTTGAAACCTTAAATGATTTCAAATAAGAAAGTCATGAACATAAAACTTGGTGAACACATCACTATCTATAACTTTTATTTTGGTCATCTTTTCATTTGACTAAATTTAAACTGTTCAAATTTTGAATTTTAATAAATGGCAACTTCAAATAAGATTTTGAAAACTTAAATGATTTCAACTAGAAAAGTCATGGACGTAAAAGTTGTTGAACTCATCACTATATACAACTTTTATTTTGATCATTTCTTCATTTAACAAAGTGTTAGTAAACATTGTTCACAAATCCACATATCACTCATAGTTTCATAAACTATACTTGAGAGACATGTTGATTTGTGAACAATGTTTACTATCACTTTGTCAGATGAAGAAATGATCAAAATAAAAGTTCTATATCTTGATGAGTTATACAACTTTTATATTCATCACTTTTTCAGCTGAAATCATTTGGTGTTTCAAAATCTTGTTAGAACTTGTCATTTTTTTAAATTTGAAATTTTAAATTGCTCAAACTTTGTCAAACAAAAAGAATGACCAAATCAACACAGTAACTTGATAGGGCATGATTTTAGAAAATTTTAGAAAAAAAAATCATCACATTTGGAGTTAGTACGAGGGAGAAAAACTAGTTATAAATTTTACCCACAGATTAAAAAGAAAAATCACAACTGTTCATGATGATCAATGATGAACAAGTGTGATTTCTTTTTTTAATCTGTGGCTAAAACTTGTAACTAGTTTTTCTCTCTCATACTAACTCCAAATGTGATGGTTTTTTTCTTAAAATTTTCTAAAATCATGCTCTATCATTTTAGTCTGGTCATCTATATTTGTCACAAATTTTAGACATTTTAAATTTTGAATTTCAGAAAATGACAACTTCAAACCTGATTTTCAACCACTAAATGATTTCAACTGTAAAGGTGATGAATATAAAAGTTGTATAACTCGTCAAGATCTTCAACTTTTATTTTAATCATTTCTTTATTTCATAAAGTGTTAAGTGCTTGTTTTAAGTGTTTCAATAGTAGTCCGAACATGTTGTAGTAGTAATAAGTGTCTCTTTCAAGTGTCTGCGTGTTACAGCTGTTTTAGTAGTAATAGAGTGGATGTTGCAATAGGTTCATCTAGGTGTTGCAAAGGGTAGTCTCACACACATGCATAAATGTAGTCTCACACACTTACATAAATATATAGTCTCACACACATGCATAAATATATAGTCTCACACATATGCATAAATGAAGTCTTACAAACACACACACTTACACAAACACTCCACGCTCAACAACTAGCTAGCCCGCTGTAATGACTTTTCCCTTGACACATTTTCGTTCCCATGGCAATATGTATTTGGACAGGTTCTTTTCCACAACACTAATCTTCTTAGGAAAGTCTGTGAATAGCGGCATCTCATCGTAGTTATTGTAAGCTTCAACATCGTCCATGCCATCAACTCCGATAATGTGCTGTTTCCCGGAGGCAACCACGTGATTTATCTTCTTCTTCTTCGGGGGGAGGCTACTTTGTGGGTCAAGCATATAGAAAACTTGTGCGACACGTGAAGCGAGCACCCAAGGGTCATCTTGTTAGCCTAGATTCTCGAGGTCCAGGACTCTCAATCCGATCTTGTTTAGTTGGTGTTGTTTGATCCAGCGGCATCGAAACAGGGCCACAGTTATATCCCTTCCATAGTCAAGTTCTCATATCTCTTCAATGATGCCAAAGTATTAGATCTTTTGCCCCACTCCATCGAGAGGTTCTATTCGAACGCCGTTGTTTTGGTTCACATATTTACTATCCTTTGCGTGGGTATAGTACGTGTACCCATTGATGTCATAAGCTTTCTAAGATGTCACTTGTCTCAATGGCCCTTCCATCAACCTACTGATGGTAATAGAGTCTATGGTTTCTCCAGACGGTATGTTTTGGTCCTTCAACCATGTAGTTAGTCGTTGCTTGTGTTGTTTCATGACCCAATCATCTGAACAGCCATTTCTCTCCGCCATAATGATAGCCAAGTCTTCATCAATGTACGGTTGCATCAGTTGTATACTCTGCAAGACATTGTAATGCGCCCGACTCACTTCTTTGTAATCATGGTCGATGAACACTTTTCTACCACTGGTGTCCTTCCCAGCCAACCTACCCTTGTGACGAGAATCGGGTTTACCAATCCCTTTCTGTACTTTTAGATACTCTTGACAGCACTCGATGCACGTATAGTCTTAGAACCGACATGAATTGCTCGTAGGACCATATTTCATGCAAGTGGCAAGGGCCCAGTGTCTGTATCTGATGAACCATGTGAATCATGAGATGTGGCATTATATCAAAAAAGCAGAAGGTAAACACATCTCTAGTTGGTTTTGTATCTCCACAAATTCATGTAGGTCACTCAGCTCTTTCTTGCCAATCGTCTTCTGTGAGATCTTTGAAAAGAAGTAGCACATGCGGGTGATGGCCATTTTCACGAACTCTGGCTTTATAGCCCTGATTGCAATAGGTAGAAACACTGTCAGCATCACATGACAATCGTGAGCCTTGTAGTGTGTTATTGACAAGTCCTTCATCGACACTAGCTTCTTCATATTCGCTGAAAACCCAGTCGGGACTTTGACCCCCCTCAGGAAAGTGCATATAGCTCTCTTCTCTTCTGGTGATAGGATGAAGCATGCCGTGGGCAGAGTGTATTTTCCATTAGCCTTAGGTACCAGGTGAAGCTGTGGCATCACGTTTAGCTGCACCATGTCTTTCCATGATTTTAGACTATCCTTTGACTTGCCTATGTCCATCAAGGTAGCAATGAGACTCTCAAAAACATTCTTCTGCATGTGCATAGCATCAATGGCATGGGGGACCTCCAAGTCTGGCCAATACGACAGATACTGAAAGAGGATCGATTGTTTCTTGAAAGATACGCCTTCGACAGGAGGTGTGCTTCTATTTCTATTCGTCCCATCCGGATTCTTCTTTCCATAGACGACGCGTATGTTTTTCACCATTCTGTACACGTGTTCTCCGTTATGATGTCTCTCCGAAGGGGGTTCAATCTCCGGGGTGTTGTCATAAAATTTAAAGAACAATTTGATGCGGTACTTGTGACTTGTCTTTAAGAAGCACCGGTTCCTTAGGTAAACTATTTTCTTGGATGCATCCAGGAACACCCATGTAGTACCATCCAAGCAAACTAAGCATCCCATCTTCCCTTTGATCTGTCCAGACAAAGCAAACAGCGTGGGGTAATCATTAGTAGTAACAAATATTATTGCTCTACATATGAAGTCCTCCTTTCAGAACGCATCATACATCGGCTCCCAATGGCTCCATAGCCTCTCCATTTATTGCATCAAAGGCTCGAGGAACACGTCTATATCAATGCCTGTTTGTTTAGGGCCAGAAATAAGAATACTAAGGAGAAGGTACTTTCTCTTCTAACACAACCACGTTGGGATGTTGTACATGATCAAGATCACTGGCCAAGTGCTGTGGTCGCTCATCCTCTCATTGAAGGGATTCATTCCATCGGTGCTCAAGGCAAACCGTACATTTCTTGGGTTATCGCTGAATTCTTTGTGCTTCTCATCGATCCTTTGCCACTGACTACAATCAGCCGGGTGTGCAATCTTATCATCATCCACCTTGTGCTCATCATCCCACCATGTCATGAGTGCGGCTTCTTTAGGGTTTAGGAAGATACGTCTCAAGCAGTCGGTCACTGGCTGGTACAACATTACCAAGATAGGAATTCTTCTCTGCTTTGCATCGTTGCCTAATCGAGTGTCCTCTGGGGGCTGAGATTCTTGTACCACCTTTTTTGTACCCTTCTTATTCCTCTTTTTCCCCGTGGAGGCTTCGTCCTCACCGTAAAGGTCATTGTTCTTGTACCGGCTAACCCCACACCGGGGACATTTATCCAGTGACTTGAACGTTTCGCCACAAAAAAAGATACAGTGGTTGGGAGATGCATGGATTTTTTCAACCCCCATTGTCAATGGACTTATGACCTTTTTCGCTTGGTATGTGTTGGCGGGAACTGAGTTTGGTTGTGGCAGCATCCATGGCAGGAGGCGCAATAGATCATTGAAACTACAGTCTCACCAGTCGTACTTAGCTTTTAGGATGAGTAGCTCAAGCACAAATTGTAGCAATGTACAATGTGTCGGACAGCCCCTTTCAACACCATACACAGTCTCCTTCGATGATTTTGTCACCCTTTCCAAATTTTCTAGACCTTTCGGACTCTTTAGTAAAATCTCTGGTCAAGATCCCGAATCATTTCCTCTAAATCATCAAAATCATCGGCAGCACCTTCGTCATTACCATCCCAATCACCAGCATCACCACCTTGTTCATTGCCAAACTCAAGATCCATTTATACAACAAGCTCTTCTGAGTATTGGGACATGTATTCTAGGGTTTCGGCTTTGTCTTCTTCATCATCGTCATCATTATCAACAACCGTTGTTTCACCATGATAAATCCATACTGTGTAGTCCTCAACAAATCCTCGCACAATCAAATGTTCTCTGATGATACTCACATCTGTCCATGCCATAAGGTTTTTACAATCTTTGCAGGGACAAATAATTGTATCCTTATTCTTTGTCAACGTCGCTGCATGCTTCTCTGCGGCTTCAATAAATTTGTCCATCTTTTCACGGAAACCTACTTTGAACCTTAACGAACCATACATCCAAGACTTCCTGTACTCCATCTTTTAGAACACAACAATCAAAGAAAATACATTATAGGACTACTAATTCAGATATATATGTAAAGGAATCAAATTAATAATTAATTACTTGACAATAATTCTATATACTTTAGATATATATAAATATAAAATAAAATTACATGAAGCATATCAAACAAACACCATGGTAGAGGGTAATTAATTAATGACCTATTTATCAATAAATAATTAAAAATATATATTTATTAATTAAAATAAATAATTTCAAAGACAATAATTTACAACAATTAATATTTTACCCACTACCTTTCATGCAAACCCTATTCCAATTTCATGAAACATAAATTTACCAAATTAAAATTAAAAAAAAACAAACCCTAGATCTAGATCTAAATCTACATGTACATGAAACATACATGAAACTAGGGTGTAATCTCAACTAAAATCAAGCAAGATCGACTAATAAATGGTGTAATCTCATTTATCTAACTAATTTACACTAATACCATCAAAACTAGAGTCTAATTTGCTTCATACAAAGCTCAAGCACCATAGAAGAGAGAGAAAAGAAAAACTCTAATTACGATCACTAACCAACCATTAAAACTTCAAATAAAGGCTTGAAATAGCATTTTCTTACCTTGTACAACCTCTCCACCAAAGTATTTGAGATCAAAACCTCCCCCACTTAGTAGATGTTTACACCAAAATTTGGAAGAAGAATCGCAGGACCTGAAAGCTCCCAAGATCATGTCATCAAGGAATCAATCGTGTGCAGGTCGGTATCAGCTGATTCGAATGCAACACTGGAATCAGCTTTCTTCAGATAGCGCCAGCAGATAACGATAAAGGCTACGATTGGCGCCGGGACATGGCATGTTGGACTCTACAAAAAGGGAAAGATTAGAGTCCAAGTTATCTTAAATTAGGAATGTTTTCTCTAGGACCAAAAATTGTGATGAGTCGTGCTTAGATAGGAATCATGCGTAGGTTCTGGGTATAAATATCGAACCCCGGCTATTGTAAAGGACACACAATCAATCCAATACAAGTCATTTACTTTTTTCGGCTCCGGCCACCCCTTCGGAGTAGGAGTAGAGTAGATCTCGGTGAGTTCTTCAGCGAGTACGACTACATCGATCCGGTCGACCTCCACTGCTTGTCTGTAAGTACCGTCATGGCTTATACTTCGGTTCATATGGCTGCATTGATCCGGTCGACCCCCACTGCGACTCTGGTATAAGCTAGTTATCGACTCTTGTCTAGTTCAAGTACGGCTGCATCGATCCGGTCGACCTCCACTGCTCGAACTAGGTTAAGGTCAAGTTATCGGCTCTATCTAAGGGTGACGATCCTTCGGATAGATTCATTAAGTTGCCGATATTGCTTATTGCTTCCATTATTTATTTAATTACAGCAATATCACTTCGTCCGATTGGGATTGATCTAGATCGGCCTTATATCCTGTTTAACCCATCGCTTGTTAATCTAAAACTGGTTTAATTTGCATATTAAACGATGAGTTATGTTTTATCGGCTGTTTTATGTCAATTTTGATCGTGCATAGCGTGAGGTTAAGGCATGTTGCATCTTAAGTAGATCTATTGGCTAGCGAAAACTGTTCCATGGCCCGTTATCATGGCCTGTGTGATTTTACCTCACACCCCACTGTTAGCACCGTGGAGTGGGGATCGTTATTTGGTAGATCTATTCATGATAAGGCATGACCTTAACTGTGCGCTATGCCTGAATCGGCTGTTTTAGACGATATCGAGTGCTTTCACGAACAGTTCACATCGCGAGATCGTTGAAGTAGGGATAGGTTGAAAGATATGTTAGCCCTATGATCTTATTATTGTATTACGATCTACATGATTCTACCTCATGCTCCACTGATATTAGTAATAAGTTAGGGTCGTCGAGTCTATTGTTGTTTATACGGCCTGCATGGTTCTGCCTCATGACCCACTGGTCATAGCGATAGATGAGATCTAATATGTTCATTAGATTTATCTTTATTAGATGGTTGAACGACGATGATTTGTTTCTTTTATATAAAAGGGATTCGGTTACTTACAGTCATTGGTTTAACATAAACCTATCATTGTTGACATCTTTTTGCCATTGACCAATATTTGTCTAAGTAATGATATTCATCCTGAACAATAATCGATTCTTCTTACACAACCCCACGAGCTTTAACTGATTTATTCTTATGAATATACTGGAATCGACTATTTAGTCGATCTCCTTTCATATCGGCTCTCAGAGCCGCACATTCGGGACTGTCTAGCAATACTGGCACGTTCCGCCCTAAATTACTGATAAATTTTCTCTCCTTGTCAATTGCAGGGTCAAATTGACTGGCACGTCTCGGGAGGAGTACGCAGGATCGACCATTCCTGCGCTGAAGCTAGGCAGATCGACAGCTCCATCGAGCAGACCCTTCCGGTTTGCTCGTGTGACCTCGGCACGGGACGAAATTTCGTACCGACAGTAGAACAATTTTTGGGAGGAGCCCAGGTCTCCCAACCTTTTTTGCTCGGGTTGGAGAGATTGGCCCGAGGTGGAAGAAGGTGGCTGCTATATATACAGCGGGCATTTGTAGCAGCGGCTGGTGATTCAGCCGCCCCTATAAATGGACACAGGAGGGGCGGCTGGTAATAGCCGCCTCTACATACCAGCCTCCCCTACAAATCGACGTATTTGTAGGGGCGACTGCTGTGTTGGAGTCCGAACACGTTATTGTAGGGGCTGCTCCAATGCTAGCCGCCCCTAAAAAAAGCCCCGTTGCTACAAACTATTTTTCACGTAGTGGAGGCGTTTGAGGCGGCCGCAGTACTCGATGATGGGCATGTCCCCCTGGAACAGGCTGTGGAACTCCTGCTGGGCGTAGACACCCCGCTGGAGCCTGTTGTCGAGGAACTGCCCGGAGATTGCCGTCCTTGCGGCGTAGGCGGAGGCGCGTGGCTTGAAGATGTCATTCCAAATGTCCTTGGACACAGTGGAGTAAAGCCAAGAGATAATGCAAGAATCGATCTAGAGCCACTCCGGATCGTCGATCATGGCGGTGGCATCAACGGAGCCATCGACATGGGAGATGAGGCCGAACTTTTGGAATGTGAGCTCAAAGAAGGAGCGCCACTACCCGAAATTACCATCGTCCACAGAGAGGGTAACTGGGACGTGGCTGCGGATGTTGAGGAGCACAAGGGTGGAGGCTGGGGGTGGAGCAGGTTCAGCGGTGCAGCGAATGGATTGGTGGCGGTGGAGGAGGCGGAAGAAGAAGCGCCACTCGGACTCGCCATGATAGAGAGCGGAAGCAAGGGGTCTGGATCGAGATTAGGCTGATACCATGGGAGAGAATTGAACTGCACAGAGTTTTCCATTAACAGTGATGAGGTACATATACATGTTGCCGAAGCACTGCCGGCCATTCATACACAACTGCATCCTATACAAGTGGATCAGCCGTGGACAAAAGGAGAGGCTATCTAGTGTTTGACTAAATCACCAAGAAGTAGTCCTATCGTATATCTGGCCGGTGAGGAGATGTGCGCTGACACCCTATCACGAAGAGCACAAATCTAGCCAGAAGACGACTAGTAGGCGACGGAAAATGATCCGGTCACCTTGCTCTCGTCCAGCCACTAAATCCACCCATGCCTGCTTATCTGGTATCACCGTGTTCGGCTGGTACACTTCCAGTTTCAAACATTCAGCTTATTCTCTCTCACAGAATACTATTCAATCATCCAAAACCATCCAAAAATCACTATTGAATGTCACTGACTCGACTCATTTTAGGGCTCGTTCGTTTGGCATGAAACAAAGTCAGGAACCATTCTTGCTGAAGGAAACTTATACAAATTAGACACGTAATCCGAGCTGGATTAGTTCCAGGCCACGGTTCCTCAGGAACCGAACAGGCCCTTCATAGTTTGTTGACAAACTGTGCGTCATCGTTTGGGTACGTAGTCTCGAACTCTAGCGGCTACCATAGGAGCACGAGGAATCCAAGAACCATCAAAATGGGCTCCGTAGGGCACACCGCCAGCGGCGACCGCCGCCGCGTAATGTTCTTCTCGCTCCCATACCAGGGCCACATCAACCCCATGTTCCAGCTCGCCGGCCTGCTCCACGCGCGTGGGTTCGCCATCACCGTCTTCCACACACCCACTTCAACGTGCCGGATGCGTCCCAGGCTCCCAGTACCCCGCCTACGACTTCGTCCCAGTCCAGGACGACAGGATGCCGGCGAACAGCCCGGACACGGTGCAGGTAACCGTGGAGCACATGTTCGCCTTGAACCGCGCGTGCGAGGCGCCGTTCAGGGAGCGCCTGGCCGCGCTGCTCGAGCAGCAGCGGCACGCGCAGGAGGAGGACGTCGCGTGCCTGGTCGCCGACGCGCACCTGCTGACGCTCATGGACGTGGCGCGTGGGCTCGGCGTGCCGACGCTCGTACTTCGCACCGGCGGCGCCGCGTGCTTCCTCTGGTTCATGGCGTTCCCCAAGCTCTGCGGCAAGGGCTACCTGTCCGCTCAAGGTACACACCTGCGCATTCATTCAGTAGTACATGAAAAAAAAACAGAGAAGGCATGGATGCCAACGTGTCCAATCTCCAGTGGCAGAGTCGCAGCTGGACAAGCCGGTGATGGAGCTGCCGCCGTACGCGTCCGGGACCTGCCGTCCGCCAGCGGAGCCACCCTCGGCCTAATGCGGGAGCTGATTTCGCGAGCGGTGACGGCCGTGAAGACCTCGTCGGGTCTCATCATCAACACGTTCGACGCGCTGGAGGCCGACGAGCTCGCGTCGCTCCGGCACGACCTCGCCGTCCCGGTGTTCGACATCGGCCCGCTCTACGTGCACTCGCCGGCAGCCTCGAGCAGCCTGCTGCAGCAGGACCGAGGGTGCCTGGACTGGCTGGACGCGCAGGGCCCTGCGTCCGTGCTTTACGTCAGCTTCGGAAGCCTCGCCAGCATGTCCGCCGCGGACCTCGTGGAGACGGCCTGGGGCATCGCCAACAGCGGCCGCCCCTTCCTCTGGGTGCTCCGGCCAGGCCTCGTCCGCGGCGCGCCGCCAACGCAGCAGCCGCCGCTGCCTGACGGCTTCGACGCGGAGACGCGCAGGCGGGGCATGGTGGTGAGCTGGGCGCCGCAGGAGGAGGTCCTGGCGCACCCTGCCGTGGGCGCGTTATGGACGCACTGTGGCTGGAACTCCACGCTGGAGGGCGTGTGCGCCGGCGTGCCGATGCTGTGCCGCCCGTGCTTCGGCGATCAGATGGGGAACGCGCGGTACGTGGATCACGTGTGGCGGACCGGACTCTCGCTCGACGGCGAGCTCGAGAGGGGCAAGGTGGAGGCGGCAATCTCGACGATGATGGGGTCAGGCGAGAGCGAGGCCGGCACCGAGCTGCGGGGGAGGGCACGGGAGCTCAGTAGAAGAGCGGCGGAGAGCGTGGCCAAGGCCGGATCGTCCGACCTCAACGTCGACAAGCTGGTGAACCACATCCTGTCCCTCTAGCCATTTGGTACAGGCGCAAAACCATGCCTGCTGTTTCTTTGGCTATGTTTATTTTCTTTGCAAAATAAATAAATGGAGCTCGCCTGCTTCTCGGAGATCCAAACGCAGAAGCACGAGGCAGAGCAATGGGTACAGGGCTAGAGTAGGCGTGGTGGTGCCATTGTTCCAGAGCTTTTGCGCTGCGGCGGTGATGGGTGCCCTTGTAAACACTTGAACACTTCTTCTAGCCTAATACAATGATGCACAAGTCTTTTGCATATTCGAGTTAAAAATAAATAGACAGAACTTCCGATCAAATTATTGGGAAAGAGAGATTTGATAGTGTAGCCAGCGACCAACTGACCATGTCGCTATGTTTGGCTCACTCTGTCCTACCTATGCAAATGATGCGGTTGGGTTAACTCGTTAATCCGCAGATTTAGGAATCTTATACTCTCTCATTGTCCTCCCACCTAACTACACCTTACTAAGTTATCCTTGAGCAATCTTGAACTTGTTTCATCAATCCTTCCAATCAATATTCGATTACCACTCTACACTATTTCATACTGATCAATCATTTCAAAATAACACAAGCATATAGTAGTCCTATGCTACCACTGCAGACTAAAGATTTCAGCTGATGACATTTGTGTCCTTGTCGCTTGTCGGTTCGGGTCAGGTGCAGTGCATGCGTCACCAAAAAAATACACTGTTCGCATTCGAAGACAAATACTGACGGGTGAGCCCACGACTATGAAAAATTCGAGATCACCCAGGCTTCTCAGCTACCACCAACTCTGCCGGCGGCAATGGCCGGACAAGACGAGCATCGCGACGGCAGCTCCCACCGCCGCCAAGTCGTCCTCTTCTCCCTGCCATTCCAGGGCCACCTCAACCCCATGCTCAAGCTGGCGGCGGTCCTCCACGCGCGGGGCCTCGGAGTCACGGTCCTCCACACGGACTTCAACGCTCCAGACCCCGCGCGCCACCCACAGCTCACCTTCGTCCCCATCCACGAGACGCTCAGAGACGAGGCCACCTCCCCGGACTCCGACATCCTCACGAAGTTGCTGGCCCTGAACGCCGCCTGCGAGGCGCCCTTCCGGCAGGCCCTCGCGTCGCTGCTTCGGCGTGGCCAGAACGTCGCGTGCGCGGTGGTCGACGGGCAGTGCTACGCCGCGCTGGGCGCCGCCGGCCGGTTCGGCGTCCCTGTGCTCGCGCTCCGGACGGATAGCGCCGCCGCGTTGCGCAACATGCTGGCGTACCCGCGGCTGCGCGACGCCGGCTATCTTCCCATCAAAGGCAAGCAAGTTGAAATTATTTTCCCCACTGGATTTCGAACTCAGGCGTTGATGAGCTAGTTCCACATTGTCCTGCAGAGGAGAAGTTGGATGAGCTGGTGCCGGACCTCGAGCCGCTCCGAGTGCGAGACCTGCTCCGTGTTGACGACTGCGACACGGACGAGATGTGCAGCTTTATCACCTGCGTCGCCGATGCCGTAGGAGCCTCGGTGTCTGGCATTGTCATCAACACGCTCGAGGCGATGGAGGCGTCGGAGCTAGCCAAGATCCGGCGGGAGCTGTCCCTTCCTGCCTTCGCGATTGGGCCCCTGCACTTGCTGTCGTCCCAGGATTCGGCGGAGCAGAGCTTGTACACTCCCGACGTCAGCTGCCGGGATTGGCTGGACGCGCACCCGGCGCGCTCCGTGCTGTACGTGAGCCTCGGCAGCTTGTCCTGCGTCGACCGCGGCGTGTTCGAGGAGATGGCGTGGGGGCTGGCCGGCAGCGGTGTGCCGTTCCTGTGGGTTGTCCGCCCGGGCTTAGTCAGCGGTGAAGAGGTTCCATCATTGCCGGATGGGTTTAGCGAGGAGATCAGGAACAGAGGGAAGATTGTCACTTGGGCGCCACAAAGAGAGGTCTTGGCGCACGCAGCCATTGCTGCGTTCTGGACGCATTGTGGATGGAACTCGATACTGGAGAGCTTCTGCGAAGGCGTGCCCATGCTTGTGCAGCCGTGCTTCGCGGACCAGATCGTGAACGCCAGGTATGTCACGCATGAGTGGGGTGTTGGGCTGGAGGTCGGGGAAGTGTTGGAGAGGGAGAGCGTCGCCAAGGTGGTGAACCAAGTGATGGTTGGGGAAGATGGACCTCTGATGAGGGAGAGGGCACACCGTCTGCAGATGCAGGCATCTGCAGCTACTAGTTCGGCCATGGACGGCCTAGTCCAGTACGTATTGTCCCTGTGAACAATGTTTTTTTTTTCTCGAGCAGGCCCTAGTTCGTCGAATAATGTTTTTTTTTTCTCGAGCAGGCCCTAGCCTGTTTTTCGTAGGACCCAGCTGCTTCTTCCTTTCGTTCCCCAGAGAGCGTCGCGACCCCCGCAGAGCGCCTGTGCCGCCTGCCTCCGCCCGCCGTGCTCGCCATCACGCGCCCGCCGCTGTGCCCACGCTGCTCCAGTCGCGCGCCCTCCGCCGGCTGCCACGCTCGCCCACGGCTGCCCGGCGCAAGTCAGCCCCGCCAGCGACCACGCGCTCCACGCTCGGCTACTCGGGACCGGCGGCTCCTGCGGCCACGCGAGGGCTCAGCTGCTTGGGAGTGGGCGTCGCAGGCTGGCAGCAAGGCCATGGCCCATGGCCGCCGCACCTATCCCTCCACCTGTCGCGCTCCTACTTCGCTCGTGCGCTGCTCGCCCCGCGCCGATCCTTTTGCTCTGTGCCTCTGTCCTTTCACCGCTCGGGGAACCAGAGACATGTGAACACGGCAAAAGCAAAAGAAAGGGATGGATATGCTATTAGATTCTTAATTTCAATTTGTAATTTTAGTTTTTAATTTCATTTTGCAATTTTATTTTGTACTTTCAGTTTTGCAATTTTAGTTTGTATTTTCATTTTTGTAATTTTCAGTTTTTAATTTCAGTTCGTAATTTCAGCTTTTTAATTTCAGTTTCTATTTTCAATTTGTAATTTCAGTTGTTTATTTCAGTTTAGCAATTTTAGTTATAGTTAGTAATTTCAGTTTGTAATTCAGTTCTAATTTCAATTTTAGTTTTTATTTTTAGTTTGTAATTCAGTTTCAGTTTTGCTATATATTATTTCAATCTAACACGAGGTTAATAGTCCCTGGATTTCAGCTGAAACTCTCAAAGACTGTAAACTCTGATACTCGTTGGAATCATCAACGGATGGAATCAGCAATAATAAGACGGAGACGGAGACGGCCAAACGGGGTGGAAGGAGTCGCTCTACCATTTGAGCACGTGAACTGCAGCAACCTCCTCCTGCTGTCGCTTCAGAATGCACATACAAATATCAGCATGTTCGCTTGGTGGTTTCAGCCAGCCCAAACCAGCCAGCCAACAATGTTTTTCTCTCACAAAAAATCAGCACCAGCACCAACCAGCGAACAGGCCCGATCCTCTCATCAGCTGTCATCGCTTATCAACTTACTACTATCATATTATTATTAAAAAGATTTTAGGCCCTAGTAGTATTGTTTTTCACATGCTAAGTTAAAACTCGGCTTGCACCATTGAAAGATCTAAGGTAGCGTTTGGTTGGAAGTTAAGGTGGAGTAGGACGGTCCTGTCTCGACGGGATATGGATGAGATGGCTCTATTTTTTGTTTGGTTGGCAAGGGACGGGATCGACCCATTTTGTGTTTGATTCAGAGACATAAAAAATGGGATGAGCTACCGACAAGTGGAACCCATTTGTAAGTTTTTTTCTTTTTTTTTATCTTTTTCCTTCTCTTCTCCTTATCTCTTCCTCTCTCTCTCTCTCTCTCTCTCTCTCTCTCTCTCTCTCTCTCTCTCTTCTATCCTTCCTCCCGACGCCTTGCCTCCCGTGCCTCTTCCGTCCTCCGCCCGAGCTCCGCCCACCACCGCGATGGGCCTCCTCTGCCTTAAGCTCGGCAATGAGCCATCGAAGCGCTTCCTCCGCCAAGCGAAGCTCAATGATCGAAGCGCTTCCTCATTGGCGAGCTCATGTGGCCGCAGATCGGAGCAGAAGCGGGCCGCACCTGGCGCGTGTGGCGGCGGGCGAGCGAAGCTCAGACTGACGGCGGGCTGGGCGCAGAGCTCGCCACGCTGCGTCTTGAGGCGAGAGAGGGGTCAGGGTGAGGCGAGCTCGTGCGGGCGGATCGATCTCGCCCACCACAGTAGGTGCTATCCTTCCTCGTCCATGACGGCAATGGAGCACTCGCCCACGACCCCGTCCGTGACCAAGTGACCGACGCTCCTCCTCTTCTTTCTTCTTCGCAGCGAGCCACTCATCCCACCTGGGTTGCCCCCGTCCGTGAAAATTTTGGGGACGGGGGTCATCCCGCATCTCACGGTATATTCGCACGAGGGACATCCTCACTCCTGCTCGCCCCTCAACCAAACGTTGCTCGTCCCAGGTCCGTCCCATCCCATGCCACCTTGTCCCTCCAACCAAACGCTACCTAAGTGGCTAGAGGGGGTGAATAGCCTATAAAAATTTTCTACAACACTAAGGCAACTTGTTAGTTAACTAAATGGCGAAGCAAATTTTGCGCTAGCTCTACAAGTGTTGAAAGCCACCTATCTACAAGTCTAGTAAGCTATGATTTCTATGTACCAAGCAAAGGCTATGTCACTACTTCTACCACTAGTGAGCAACCTAGCAAGTGTAATTACAACTAATTAAGCTACACTACTCACTAGCTACAACTAGCTCTACACAAGTATATGACAAAGAAAATACAAGACCTAGGGATGGATATACCGAGACGGCAAGAGATCATTCACAATGAAAACCAATGAATTCATCGGGACAAGATGACACAATATTTTTTTACCGAGATTCACTTGCTTGTCGACAAGCTAGTCCCCGTTATGGCGACTCACCCACTTGGAGGTTCACGCGCTAATAGGCATCACATGCCTAACCCGCTACCAGGTGCCGCACAACCAACACAAGATGGGGATCCACAAGCTACGAGCAATCCACTAAGTTGCCTTTCGTGATCTCCTACGGGGAAGGCACAAGAGCCCCTCACAATCCACCGATCGGAGCCGAAGACAATCACCTTCCTCCGCTCAACGATCCTTGTTGCACCAAGCTATCTAGGTGGTACCAACCACCAAGAGTAACAAGCGAATCCCGCAGCGAAACACAATCACCAAGTGGCTCTAGATGCAATCACTCAAAGCAATGTACTTGGATGCTCTCCAATCTCACCAAATGATGAATCAATTAAGCAAGATGAGTTAGAGAGGAATGGCTAGGCTCACTAGGGTGTATTCTCAATAGAAATGGCCAAGAGTATGATCCCAAACCGGCCAACCACCTTTTATAACCCCAAACGAAATAGAGCCGTTAGGCACAAGAGGGGGCTCTCTGCGTGTTGACCGGACGCGCCTGTCGGGACGACCGGACGCGTCCGGTGTAGGGTTCGGTCCCCTAGATGCTGCCACGCGTCCCCCGTGTTTAACTGCAGCCACTCGATTCCAACGGTCAACTCCCTCACGCACGTGCGTTAAGTTGAGATCGGACGCGTCCGACACATGATTGTACGCACCAGCTCAGCGTCTGTTCGCCTGCGCCCACACACTCAACTAGCCATGACCAGACTCACCGCTCGATGACCGGACACACCCTCAGCTAGAGTTCGGTCGAGTCTAATAAGCATCCAGAGATGAATTTCTTCGACCGGACGCGTCCGTTCGTAGGTGACCGGACGTACTCAGAGTTTGATCCTCATTCGCTTAGCTCCTGCGTGCCACGTCACCACGACCGGCCCCAGGAATAGTGTTCCCTCAGAGTCCGGTCACTCCCTCGAGCCATAGTCCGGTCATCCCGACGCCTCTGCCTGTGGCAGAACCGCTTAATCTAATGCCTCCCAGGAGTACTTGTCTTCCTTTATACATTAAGTACTCAAGGGAGCACACCAAATTACGCCGTTCTGTCGGGCACATCCCAAGGGAGAACCTGAAAATCTATATTTTTCCATCAGGATCACAAATGAGAGAATAAAGCTTACAACATTTTAGCCATTTCTTACATCACTTTCCATACAACATCAGAGTATAATATTTATTATTTATAACAGCGGAATATGAACATGTTATCAGAGTTATGAACAATTTAATTTAACAACGGAATATAAATATGTGAACAGAGTTACAGCGGAATTAAACATCTATTTATGACATGATGAAGTATTGATATGTAAACTACGACAATAGATTATAAAACTTCCATTTATAAAAACATTTAGTGAGAGTTATAATTAAAAACTACAATCGCAGCATAAAGGAATCCTCACTGAGCCTACCAGGAGGTATCTACACACAAGAGTCAGCTCTAGCATCCGCCTGTCACCTGCAACAGGGGAAAATAAAACCCTGAGTACTCAATTATACTCAGCAAGACTTACCCGACAGGAGGAAAGAAAAGACTCTAAGGATATGTAAGGCTATCTGACTTGTGGGTTCATTGCATCTGTAGGAGCATTACTAAAAGTGCATCCTTATATTCAATTTTTTTAGCAGTCAACATTAGTTCATTAACTAACCATTCTATGTAAGCACCTGTGCTACTTTCAAGCAGGTGGTAAGCAATTAGATTTTTTTACCATCTTTCATCTTCCAGTTCTTACTACGATGCTAGAGTTTAGACAAGTCGTACCGACACGGCGGCGATTCACGAATCAATGAGCCCAGCTGGGTACCCCGAAACACACGCCCCGCTTGTACCCTAGGCACAAGCAGGACCAATCTACTACCCTCCTATCATGGGGTCCAGGTCCCCGTCCAAACTTGGACTCCAAGCCCCCGCTTCTGAGTTCCGGACTCAGAGCGGTGCAAGGACCTCCACCCAAAAACCATCATGAAAGTCGGTCCAAAAAGTGTCGGAACCCATGACAAGAGAGTAACAAGTCTTCTCTGCGCCCATACCCAAGTATGTGCTCGGGATAATAAGTCTGTGACTTGCTTAGAGTCCAATGCAACGGTCGGTCCTTAACCAACACAGACAGGGAAAACAGTGTAACCAAGCTATATCCCATTGGCCGCAGGACACAACCTCTTATACCCACCAATACCCAAACCATATCCCTGCTCGATCTTCATTTTTCCTTTCACCATTTTATATATTCCAAGTGATAATAATACAGTAATATATTTCCTATCTCTCACGAGTGACAGGCAATCACTCGACTTCTACCGGAGTCCTGTAGCATAGCAATCTACACGATCCTGTCATACTAGTAAGACTCATAGGATATA